TTGTCCTGATATCTTCATCCTCAAATTAATTTTTCTTAACTAAAGCGTGATCATGTATTACTAAATAGTCTGAATTCATCTAGGGGTTACTTTAACTATCAGGAATAATAGTAGCTCTTAAGAAATTGGTCTAAGGTTATTTAGACAGAACTTCTCTCGCCCCGGAATGTACAGTCCAACAACTGTCGCTTCTTTAAAAATGATTGTGATAACCTTCATAAATTAAAAAATTTAGATAATATCAGTCAGAATTTAAAAAAAAAGCCATATTTCTACATATGGTTCCATTTAAGCTTAGACTAGTTTAAACTTGGTTCTATTAGCAACTCACAACAACTCAAAATTTTTATATGTAACTATTTATGTAATGTTTAATGTTTTTTGTTTTCTTTTTCGGGACGAATTTATCAATATTAATTTTTTTTAATCTAATTTATCTGCTTTTTAGCTCTGATGATAGTGACAGTGAGTACTGAAACTAGTTAACCTAGTTTTCTTAATAAAAATTTCTTGTTAATGTGGAATCGACCTAATTTGTCTACTGGTTCCATATAGTTAAAAGTTATTCATTATTATACAATCTGAATTCTTTAGTAAAATTTAGATATCTAGCATAAAATCTCAAAGCTGATTCATAAACCACAAATATAAGTACTTATTTCATAAAATTTAAATGGCTTTTACTAAAAAACAAAATTGAGGAAACTTTACCAAATTGTTGATGGGCATGATTAGCTAAATTTTGGTTAGCTCACGATATTTTTAGTATAATGCATTTAAAATTTTACAACAATCGGTCTGGTAGTTCCAGAGGTTTCAGTCTATTTTGTACTGCAAGACTCATGAAACGAGACTACATGAAAGTAGGTATTCTCCCGATAGACCCTGTAACAAAAAGGGATTGCAAAGAATTATACGGAAACTAAAGCTAAATTACAACTTTCTACCAGGAATTAAACATTTGTACATTTGCTAAGCTACAAAGACTTAGATGGTTGGGGCATGAAAAGAAGATGTAACTTCCTAGATACATTAAAGTCGAAGGGTGCAGACAAAAGTGTTGAACAGCCAGATGTGGAAATAGGTAGTGAAAAGTTTCCAGGATTAACAAAACCAAGGATGGAACTAGTAAATAAAAAACAAAGTTAAAATGTAAAAATTCTTGCATTCTGTAGAAACGTTTGAAAAGGTGAATTATTACTAAATTGTACTAAATAAAATTGTCGGTCAAAAATTTCATATTGAAATATTGAAATTTTGAAAAGTTGAATTAAAATTCTCAAAAATTCTGGGATCTTAACGAGCTGATTCTAAAAACAAAACGTATTAATTGTCTCGGAACAACATTTTCAAAAAAGTCGGCTTAAAATCAATTTTTTTTTTAAATATGTATCCAAAATAGTAATTTTTCATTTTATGGATTTCGGAAATTTTTTTGGAATTTTTGAAGAAAATAATTTCTACAAGTTGAAATTTACAAGAAAATATATTTAGGTAATTTTTGAACGGTGCTTGAAAACGGTAAAAAAATCAAACGAGCAAGAGGTATCGAAAAATTCTCAAAAAGTTCTAGGATATAGATCTTAACCAGCTGATTTAACAAATATAAGGTGTTAATGATCCCGAAACGCAGTTTTGAAAAATTCAGTTTGACAATTTTTTAAATATGTATCTCTAAAATTGTCATTTTTCATTTAATTTATTCTGGAAAAATTGTTGAAATTTTCAAAAAATAAAGCCAAAAATTACTTCTATAAGTCGAAATCTACAAGAAAATGTCTTTCGGGTGCTTCATAAACCATGAAAAAAATTCATAAAGTAGATCGAAAATTTGAGAATTTTGAAAAATTGCTTGAAAACCCCAATAAATAATCCGATACAAATCTCGACGAGTTGATTCGAAAAACATAACGCGTTAAAGCTTCTGTAACAAGATTTTGGAAAAATTTCGTTTAATAATAAAAATTTTTAAATATGTATCTTGGAAATTGTCATTTTTTATTTTATCGATTCTAGAAAAAATGTTGGAATTTTCGTAGAAATGAAGCCGAAAATAACTTCTTCAAGCCTAAATCTACAAGAAAATGTTTTTAGATAATTTTCAAAGGGTGACGAACGAATGGCCAAAAAAATCATGTGGGAGTAGGAATACCTATTGAAAAATTTAAATTTTTGAAAAGTTGCCTAAAAATCATAAACAATCTTGAACACAGACCTGAATGAGCTGATTTAAAAATAAAAAACGACGTGTAGAAAATTATCTTTTCTCATTTTATCGATTCTGGAAAGATTGACAAAATTTTCGAAGAAATGAAACCGAAAATCAAAATCCAAAAAAAATTTCTGGATAATTTTCGAAGAAGGAAGGAGTTACTTTTCAATGACTTGTAATCCCTGTGAGATTTCCTGAATTATCGAATGATCATTTTTTCTTTATTAGAGAAATAGCAAGTATTGCAAATAGAAGAGGAAAAATCAGTAAGCGGTGTAACCGAAATACGACTTAAATTTAATAAAAAATGAAGAAATAAAAGTAGCTGGGATTGTAGAAAGAACTTAGTCACAAGTGCCAGAAGCAATAAATTTCACAGATTTTTATTAACTCATTTACAAAATATACAATTTTAATGTAAATAACTGTCACACAACTTCGACTTTCACACAGAAGATTCTGAAAATATTGCTCCGTTACCATAAAAGGCTATATTTTATGATTTTTTCCGAATATTTATACGACTTTTTAAAAAATGAAGTTTTACATCATGTATAACCATTTTGCAAATTTCAACCCATTTTTGACAACTTTCGAAATTTAACTATTTCTTCGATAACTCCAACCGTTTTTCCGGAATTGTCCACTGAAATATCGCAATTTTTAAAAATTTCAAGAAATTCGAATTACACTCAGAATTTTGGGAAAATATTGCTCCGTGACCCTAAACACGCTATAATGTAGGGACCAGCACGTCAAGATCTATAACCCTGAATTTTTTGAAAATTTTGAAGACGACATTTTCAAAACTCAAATTTTCCAAAAAGTACATATACCTACATAATATACACATTTCTACCCATTTTCGACGATTTTCGAAATTTAAGCAAACACTTTTTCTTGTAGGTTTCGAGTCGCAGAAGTCACTTTTGGCCTCATTTCTTCTAACTCCCACCTGCTTTTTCAGAATCGCCCATTGAAATATCGTTTTTTTTTTCATTTCAAAAATTCGAATTACACTTCAAATATTTCAAAAATATTGCTCTATTTTTCGTTTTTTGTTTGCTCCATTCAACATTCAATTTTGAACACGAATCAATTATTATTTAAATATCAGAGTGTCGAGAGAGGTAAGTAAAACTAAAATCTTGAACAACTCGAAACAAAAAGATTTAACTCACTTAAAAACTTCTTCAGTGTACATTAATATTTCAAGGAAAATGTGATCATTCTTGAATGCATAACACATCTCTTATTTGAAATCAATAAGCGAAACTAAAATGTTCATACTTATGGTTGTCATTAATTGTTTAGTGAAGCAGTTAATTCAGTTAAATTCAGTTCATAAAGCATTACTACAATAAATTTGTACTTTGAAGTAAACACAGTTAGTAACTTATGAAGGAAAATTATACCAGAAGTTGATAAATTTAAATTTCACAAGATTGGTACACCCAGTGGGTTCACTCTCGATAAAAGGATAATTACAGATTAGTTTCAAATTTCCTTTGTCAAACCAGAATTAGCTGAATGGATTTTCAGATGGTTTTGAAAGGGTATCTGGGGCATGTTTCTTCATTCAATGTTTTAATTAACACTATAACACCTGTCTTTGTTTTTTCATTGCGTACCATTATTCGTATAGTTCCTTTGAAGCACTTGACACCTGAATATTATAAAAGGGCTCAGATCTCTACTAATGATTATATTGAAATCTAATTTATGCACGATGTTAATCTGATTCTAAAATTATCTTGGCTCGTCTAAATAAATTAAGCCGTTTTCTTTCATGTGCGATCAGTCACATTTAGGAATTAATAAATAATGTACTGACCAATATTTCCGCATGAATTTTTGCCCTATTGAAGCACTTCTGTTGCAATTCCCCGGGAAGAAAACATCACTTGTAGTAAAGTTGCAACGACGTAATTATATTTAATTTAAAGAGATAATATTTGATAGAAGCTGCATTGCATAAAGTTTTGAGAAAATCGCCATTAGCAAATAATTTTCCTCTACATTGTGTCAAATATCAAAGCCTGTAGGATGCATCCGTCGAAGAGGGGCGTTCTATTTTGTCTCCGAGTAGAAATTATAGACCGGGGAATTTTTGAATTAGAACGCCGCCGTTCCACGTTTCTGGTTTATTCATGTAGAAGAAGTCGAAGTTGTGAGCAGAATTAGCGATGGCAAAAATCGTTACCATCAACCGTCGAAATAAAGATTTCACCTTCAGACAAATCTTGGAAATCGACAGTCAACCGAGAAAAATCCAAAGGCTAAATCGACGTCCATCTGCGAAACAAAAGTCGCTTCGAACGTCCTTCGTATCAAACCTAATTCGTCGATGTTAGCCGACGTGCATGCACTCTAAACAACGTTATCATTTAAACAAAGATTAAACATTACAAATGATATGACCTCTGCAACAATTAGACTGACCTGCTAAGTCACATTAAGCCTTCGTTCACCGTTTATTGAATACAATTACATTGTCTGTACGCTCCGCACCAAAATAGTTCTTAAGTAGCACTCGCTTACAAGTTGCTCGTTCTGCTTCCTCCGGACTCATCTGCTCAATTAAAAATGACGAAAGTTGAAGGGAGACGGTGGAGGTGACGTGGACGAAAAACTTCCACATGGCTAATCCACAATATTAGGATGGCATTTAAATACCGAGTTCAAGGGGTCAATAAGTAAAATCAACTTATCACTACTGATTCTATTAAGTGATTTACATCTCATTTAATTACGGTGCCGTTGTTGGATCGCTTAACACTCACACTTATTGATGGGTCGGGGCAATTTGCACTACCATATCCACACGTATGCGTGCTGCCGGAGATTACCAAAACGATAAACTTATTGAATGGTAAGTACTTTTAATGCTCCTCGTGTCCTTACTCTTGCCAATTTGTCTAACCGATTCATTGCAACTATTGCAATTGCAATTGCAAATGCAATTCTACATGTATTTTTCCCAGTTATATTTTTATTGTTTTTTAATTACCCATTGATAATTAGCAGTGATTGCCTAATTAAATTTTGTATGTGCCACTAATGGGTCATAAATTAGGATTTTGATGCACACGGATTTTATTTTACATGTGGAGTTAAATAATCGAAACTATTTTTTTCTTAATTATTTTATAGAAAAATGTTCTAGAACACTTTTAAAATCGCCATGAATAGTTAAAATCATTTTACCAAGGAAATTTTCTTTTCTCTTTTATAATACTTACTTCACAAAATTATGACAGTATTGAAAAATTAAGTTTTTGAAAAAGTTGCATAAAAAATAAAAAAAATTGGGATGCAAGAACTATTCGCATTGAATTTTTTAAACAAAAAAAAAATCTAAAAATTGTCATAGTTTAATAGGCGATTCTGTGAAAATGCTAGGAGTTATCAGAGAAATAAAACCGAAAGTAACTTCTAGAGACCGAAGATCGAATATCACTTTACAAAAGTTATAAACTGAAAACTGTATAATAATCCCCTAATTTTGTTGCCATTTTTTGAAAAATCAATATTGTATAAATTATGAAATATTAGAAAAGTTTTAAGGAAATCATAAGTATGATAAATCGCTAATCAAAATTTATTTGCCAATCTCCTTCAAAAACTTGATGATGTCATTTGAAAAAATGCTAGAAATTTTTGAGGAAATGGGTCGAAAATAACTTCCTCGAGGTCAAAATTTTTAGTGAAATTTCAAAACTGAAAAGCGAAAAAGTCAGGTCAGGTCAGGTCAGGTTAGGTCAAAAATCTCTTTAGTTAATTTTCGAAAGTGGTCGAAAACAGATGAAAATTTTTGATGAAGAGACAGTATTGAAAAATTAAACTTTTGAAAAAAGTGTCTCAAAATTAACAATAAATTTTGTGTTATAAATTTGGACGTACTTATTCGAAAAATAAGGTGTGCTTATGATCCTAAAGTAAGATATTCCCTTTGAAATTCAATTTTTTTAACACCTAAAATTCATTCATTAGGCGGTTTTGGAAATATGATAGGTTTATTGAAGGAATGAGGCCGAAAGTATCTTCTGTAAAATCAAAAACTACAAAAAAAATTCTTTAGTGGTCATAAAGTGTCTAAATTTTTGATAAGGTAGAATATTGAAAAATTAAGTTTTTGAGTAAGTTATTTAAAAATTCACAAAAATTCTGGGATATAGATGGTGACGTACTGATTAAAAAAATATAGCGTGTTTGTTGTTCCAGTGTAAAATTTTAAAAATATTTCCTTTTTTAAACCCTAAACATTGCCATATTTCGTTAGGTAATTTTGGAAAAATGATAAGAGTATTGAAGAGATGATGCCGAAATTAACTTCTAGAGGTTAAAATCTACAAAAAAATCTATTTCTATAATTTTTAAAGGTGGTTAAACAAACGTTGAAATTTTCATAGGGAAAGAAAATATTGAAAAATTAAGCTTTTGAAAAAGTTGCGTAAAAATAAAAAAATTTGGGATACAAGAACTATTGGCATTGAATTTTTTAAATTAAAAAAAAAAATCTAAAAATGACCATAGTTCAATCGGCGATTCTTTCAAAATGGTAGCAGTTACCAGAGAATGGAAGCCGAAAGTCACTTCTACAGATGGAAGATCGAAGATCATTTTATAAAGGTTATATTTTAACTAAAATAAAATTCTGTAAACTGAAAACTGTATAAAAATTCCCTAATTTTTGACAATTTTCGAAAAATCATTGTTGCATAAATTGTAAAGTCCTAAAAATGTTTTAAGGAAATCATAAGTATTATAAATTGCTAATCAAAATTTATCAGCGAATCTCCTTCAAAAACTTGATGATGTCATTTGAAAAAATGCTAGGAGTTTTCAAGGAAATGTGTCGAAAATAGCCTCCTCGAGGTAAAAAATTTTAGTGAAATTTCGAAAGTGATTGAAAATAAGTCAGATCAGGTCAGGTTAGGTCAAAAGTCTCTTTAGTTCATTTTGGAAGGTAGTCGAAAACAGGTGGAATTTTTTGATGAAGGGACAGTGTTGAAAAAATGAACTTTTGAAATAGGAATCTAAAAACTGACAAAAAATTTTGTGATATAAAGTTAGACGTGCTGATTCGAAAAATACAGCGTGCTTATAGTCCCAAAGGAAGATATTCGGTTTGAAATTAATTTTTTTTAGAATCTAAAATTTGCCATATTTCATTAATCGATTTTGGCAATATATGTAGTAGGAGTTATTGAAGAAATGAGACCGAAAGTATCTTCTGTAGGTCAAAATCTACAAATTGAGCTTTTAAATAAGTTATTTAAAAATTCACAAAAATTCTCGTAGATCTCGACGTACTGATTCGAAAAGTAAATAAATTTAAAAAATATTAGTTCCGTAATTCAATTTTTTTAAACTCTAAAAATTGACATATTTCGTTAGGTGATTTTGGAAAAATGGTACGAGTTATTGAAGAAATGAGGCCGAAAGTAAGTTCTGGAGGTCAAAATCTACAGAAAAACCTATTTCTATAATATTTAAAGGTTGTCAAAAAAACGTTGAAATTTTCATAGGGAAAGAAAATGTTGAGAAATTAAGCTTTTGAAAAAGTTGCCTAAAAATAAAAAAATCTGGGATACAAGAACTTTTGAATTTTTTAAATAAAAAAAGTATTTAAAAATTGCCATAGCTCAATAGGTGATTTTGTGAAAATATTAGGAGTTATCAGAGAAATGAAGCTTTTAGAGATTCGAAGATTACTTTACAAAGGTTATATTTTAACGAAAATAAAATTTTGTAAACTGAAAACTGTATAAAAATCCCCTAATTTTTTGCCATTTTTCGAAAAATCAATGTTGCATAAATTGTAAAATAAATCACTAATCAAAATTTATCTGCGAATCTCCTTCAAAAACTTGATGATGTCATCTAAAAAAAATCTAGTAGTTTTCGAGGAAGTGGATCAAAAATAACTTCCATGAAATCAAAATTTTTAGTGAAATTTCGACTTCAAATATGATAGGAGTTATTGAAGAAATAAAGCCGAAAGTATCTTCTGTAGGTCAAAATCTACAAAAAAAAATCGCTTAAGCGGTCGAAAAATTTTTGATAAGTTCGAATATTGAAAAACTGAGTTTTTGAATAAGTTATCTAAAAATTCACAAAATCTCTAGGATATAGATCTCGATGTACTGATTCTAAGTACAGCGTGTTTATTGTCCCAGAGCAAAAGTGCTATGTTTCATTAGGCGCTGTTGGAAAAATTGTACGAGTTACTGAAAAAATTGAGGCCGAAAGTAACTTCTAGAGGTTCAAATCTGCAGACAAGTCTATTTCGATATTTTTCGAAGGTGGTTAAAAAAACATTAAAATTTTTGTTGATTCGAAAAATGTAACCGGTTTATAGTCACAGAGCAAGATTTTAAAAATTTTCGATTTGAAATTTGATTTTTAAAACATTCTAAATGTTGCCAAGTTGCCATATTTCAGTAGACACTTCTGGAAAAATGGTAAGATTAATCAAAGAAATGTGGCCGGAGGTAACTTCTACAGGTCTAAATCTACAAGAAAATGTCTCTTTAGGTAAGTTTCGAAGACGATGGTAATGAAAAATTGACCTTTTGAAAAAGTTGCCTAAAAATCCACAAAAAATTCTGGGATATAAACACTGAAGGTTCGATGTGTTTATACTCCCGGAGCGAGAGTTTACAAAACTTCAATTTGAAATTTCATTTTTAAAAATTCCTAATTATTACCATATTTCAGTAGACGATTCCGGAAAAATGGTAAATCGAAGAAATGTGGTCGAAAGTAACTTTTGGACGTCGAAATCTACAAGAAAATGTCTCTTTAGGTAGGTTTAGAAGGTGGTAGTAGAGGGTCGAAATTTTCATAAAAGGGTCAATCAAAAATAACATATTCCTGTATTTGTGGTTTATGAATCCGCCTTAATTTTTTACTCTAGACATCCAGATTTTCGCATAAAAATCAAAATATATACCAACCTCAAAACTAAATTTTCTAAAATCTGGCAAACGCTTTCCTAGTAAATCGTTATTCGTTATGAAAATTTATTTTACATTCCCGCCCCCAAAAATGACGTCATGTCAAAATTTCGCTGAATAAATTCTATCTAAAATTTGCTAAATATTATGAGCCTGTTAATTGTGGTTTATCAATGTATCTTTTTAAACATATAGGGTTTATAGAAAAAAATTACATATATTTTTTTGTAGCGGTCGAGGGAAGTTCTGTTTGAATAACCTTAGTCCAATTTTTTCTATGGCCCTTACTTAAGAAAGTTTTAGTTGAATCTTTAGAAATTATATAAATTTTTTAACCGCCATAACGATTTTGAGCCCAAAGATGGCACGAATGTGACAATTTGTATTTACTATTTTAATAAATGGAATTTAACATTTAAAATTATTTTTTAACAATTAAATTTTAATAATGAGCAACAAAAATTATTTTGGATTTTGGAAAAATGGTAAAAAAAAATCCAAAAAATTCCGGGATAGAAAAATATCTACGTACACTGATTCAAAAAATATAGCAGGATTGAGTTATAGATTAATTCAATTTTTTTTTCAATATTTACTAAACGTTTTTCTCTGTATGTTAGATGTTCAATAATAATCGAAAAAACAAATATTTTGAGGTTTCAAACTCTAACTAATGAGTTGAAATGCACCAACATAGCATTGTCGTTTTTTTTATTATTTTATTATTTGTTTTATTAGATTTATTACTTGCCGAACATAACCTAAGGGAAATTTGTCATAGGGTTGTTGTGCAGTTTATAATTTCCTATTTCTTTTATTTTGTAGTTGATAGAGTACGAATGTGCAGATTTATTATTTCCGTCTGTCTGTAGTTTGTTGAAATTTTTGTTTCAATAATTATTATCACCGA